GTCAAAGAAAGCCCGCTGCCGTCCGCGCGCGTCTGAACCGCTCTGGGAGAAAGGTAAGCTTTTGTTTGGGACGTACGGACTGCTTGCCTTGGAAGATCTTCTAGGTGGTGCTCGGGTGAAGTTTTTTTTTTTAACCCTTTCAGTTAAAAAAACTCGATTTTCCATTCAGTTGCAGAGCAATTTCCTTTCCGGACGCCCAGAATGGGAATGCCGGTTTGCCATCTATTGTAAGCTAGGATTTGCTTTCTGAATCTGCTGTCGCCCGTTACGTGTGTCGTTCGTGTAGGCTTGAAGCGTTCAGCGGCTTTTTTATATAAACTGCTCTCCGTACTTTGAAAAGAAAAATCGGTATTCCTAGGATTAGAGGAAACGCTCGGGTATCAAAATCTGTCACTGTGTCTCTTTCCTTATAGACATTTTGCCCAGCGTTGAGGTTATTACTATCTAAGTGGATTGAAGGCGCACCGCCACCCTCCTTCACTATTGCCCGGGTATTGTATTGTCATCATAAGTAGGTCATAAGGGAAAGCAGTGTGTGCACTAGTTTTCTGGAGGAGGTGGCTCATTGCTTTGTTTGATTAGTTTCTGAGGCTTGTGCTGTTACGAGGTGTGTAAGTGGGAGAAGTCTTCACACCTTTTCAGAGAGCACCCACGTACCAAATTCATCTCCAGATGCACAATGCAGCCCTTGTGTGTCTCAGTTTGGAGTTGACTTGAAAGAAAGGAAGCCACAGTGCCACACAATAAATTCAGCCACATGTGGACTCCTTTGAAACCTACCTCAGGTGGCAGAGTGTCTATTAAGAGCATCAGAGGACAAAGGAAATGAAACATAAGCATGAAATGCCTGCATAGCTGTCCAAAGCAAAATGATTCTAGCATATATCTAGTGTTAATTCTGTAGGCTTCCAGTTCCTGAATGAATTGTTCCCTGAAATCATTCATAAACCAGGCCCTTAATAATAATAATAATCTGTTAACTGAGCAGAGACCAAGTAATGTATACTTTAAAGCAGAGGATAGAAATGTATCCCAGATTTTATTTTATTTATTTTATTTGGCAAAATGTCATCATTTTTGGCTGTTTGGAAAGAAAATCTGGAATGCATCTGCTGTTTCATTCTAGAATTTCATAGAGTTTGCTTAAAAAAAAACAGGGAATAATTTTTTACCCTTTAATAATAGATTAAACATTAAAAGTCGCTATGCCTGTGTCAGTTGGTAAATTAGTAACGAAGGGGCCTGATGCGCTGGTGAATGAAGCAAGCTGTAAGGGTATCAAAGTCCAAATGATTTTCAGATTTTATAGTATATGGAATGAATTCACTTCTTATGAATTTTATATATATATATAATGCAAGGTATGCTCATTGTACACAAAAGTGGATATTTACTTTTAGGAACTCTTGCCTTCCAAGTCCTTACCAAATGCATCCTCTGTCTCTGGTCTTATTAATTTCTTCCCAAGCTCTGAATTGGACCATTTTCTCATTGCTTTTATCTATTATGCTCCAAGGTATCCAAGAATGGGACTTGAACTTTTTGCCTTATATTCTGTGATGTGAAATTCTTTTTAGTAGCACACTTATTCTGATAACTTAATGTACTGCTCTCTTGAGAACTCTACTAACACAAATACTGTTTCACATACTGGTGTCTATAAACGCAAACCCTCTACATGGGTCAGAATAGATGCTGTTTGTACACATGAATATTTCTCTGTGTATAATTGTAAACATGTTGAGAAGTGGTACATTTATGTTCTGTGAATAAGTAAAACATAGAACACTCTCTCCATTAACAAGTAATGATGAGAACAGTGTTTGCATGGAGATACGCTGATGCTTTTTTAAATTACACATTGGCCTCAAACTGAACTAACACATCTGAGCGTTAAGATTTTATCCGCATAAGGAATAGGAATCCTGGTGCTCCCCAGATACCTTTCCCAATCATCTTTGCCAACTCCCAGGGTCTGGATGAACTGTTGTCCTAGACATATGGAGGGTAATGTCAGGTTTCTTCCTGGTAGGTTGAACAGGAACATTTAACAGGCACACAAGAATCCACAAATTCTGATAAAGAATTTTTTGTATAGAAAAGCTAAGAAGTCATTGTGAAAGAATTCCAATAACTGCAGTGTATCAAAATCAAATCCTATATATAACAAATTCAGAGCTCCCTATTTTTGCAGCACATTCTTCTACCCAAGCTGTGAAACAGACTGGATGATACCCTCCTTTGGGTGGGAGATCAAGTAATGTCCAGATCTGATATAAGTTTGTTTTCCTCTGTGCATCTCAAAGGTACAGGATTGTTTAGTCCTGTTCTACATGAATGTATTCTTGGAAGACCATATTTTCTTCAGAGATTTGTTTAACAATTTACTCTCTGTTACTTTCTCGGGCCCACTTACCATTATTGTGTGAGATCACTCTTGTGCTCCTTGCATGTCAAATAACTTACGGGAAGATATGTGACATAATTCTTCCTCATCCAAATTCTCATTCAATTGTAACAGAGTTGAGGAGGATCATTCTCTGTTCTTACAGTATATTTAAAATCCCAAACACTGCTTTTGACCTAAGCTGCCTTCAGGACAAAAGGAATGGGAACAAATTGTTGGATGCAACAGATCCAAAGTCTGATAGCACCTTTCTGACTAACTCCATAGTACCACCAGACTCCTGTTTTTTTGCCACTATAGACTAACATGGTTCTCCTCCTTGGATGCAACAGAGTGCAGTGAAATGTGGCTAGGGACTAAGAAGAGGAGGAATGTTTCTGCTACCCTTACTTTATGTTTTGTTATATGCTGAAGAAAAGATATGAAGATGCAATCCTGGTTTTGTCATGCAATGACCTGCCTAGCGATCAAATTATCTTGCGACCAGAGGCTTCCAATTGCACACAGTCATGCTATATATCCATTGTTCTCTGAAATGGACAAACAATAAAACAAAACAAAAGCAAGTAGCTGGCCTTTATGTATTAGTTCATCTGCTATTTTTTATCTGTAGACCACTTGGAAGAAAACAATTCCAGTCAGTTTATTGTTCTTTCACTTTGGTCAATTTCAGCCCCGCTTGCTTCATCTTGGCTACCATACACAGGGGAAGAGTTACAAGGAGAGGAAGATGGAATTTGTCAGCAATCAAAACAGCTCAAGGGCATTTTAAATTGGAATCAGTGGAGTTGGGAACCAAAAGTGTCCTATGTCCCTAGTTTTATATATTGATGTGTCAAGTTTCTATATAAATACATAAATACAAACTTCTAGATAAATACTACCCCATCATATTTAATGAGGCCTGTCTCAGGGCTACCTGTCATTGTAGGGTCAAAGACTAGTAGATTGAAATTAAGTCTAGATGTGAATAAGAAATGTTGGCTACCATATTTTAGAGCACTTACATTGCATCTTATATCTTAGAACGTCAAGAAATATATGCCGTTCCCCCATATCCATGGAGTAGCTCCTCTGGATACTTAAAACTGGAATGCTCTTGACCATTGATATTGTACTTAGTTGTACTTGTGATAAAATGCACAGTCCACTAAGAATAATTGGTAGGAAACCATTCTCTGAGCCAGCCTTAACAACAGTCTTCAACAGGGACTGGCAGAACCAAAGCAGATTATCAGATCACTTATATGTACAGCATATAACTTGATAAGTTGCTTCTTAAAAATGGTCATCTATATTTTTTCATTTTTCCATGGAGTAGGAATAAAATTGACATTTAATGACATGCCAATAATTACAGATATATTATGGTAAAAATCTATAAAAAGGGAATTTGTATAGCTGATAGCTATATAAAGTATTTGTCAATGCATTCAGTGTTAATTGGTAGTGATTTATAGAAGCTTGTCTGATGTCTAATTTGTCTAAGGACTGCTTTGTACTGGAGTTGGTAAATCTCTGTCTGGGCTTCCTCCCTGCAAACAGTCAAAATACAAACCCAGAGAAAGCTAGGCTAGATGTTTTCTATGTGGAGGAATTTCTGCCCATGGAGGTACATTCATTGACATGAACCTCCCATAGCTTTATAGTCTGAAATGGAACAAAGTTTACATTCAGCATGAAAATCTGAGCATTATGTTTAATAATAGAATGTCAAAGCAGTGTAAAAGTAAACCATAAGAACCATAAAAGAAATGGTCAGATAACATATTCAAGCATAGGCAAAAGCTCCAATAGAAGATGTATCAGTGGAAAAAAAAATATCATGGGAAGTGAGTAGATTCAGAATCATTTGAGATCCTATTTTCCTGTTGACAGAAATTTGGTGAAAGGCATAACCTAAGTAGAACTTTTTCAGTGGTGGCACCAATTTTATGAAATGCCCTTCCCAAAGAGGCCCACCTAGCCCCATAATTTATGTTATAGGCAACAAGTTAAAAAAAAAAAAAAAGAGGAACAGAATAGGCAAACAATACATAAAATAATTTAAATAGCTAATAGTAGCCAGCTGAAAAAAGCTATCCCTCCCCCCCAAAAATTGTAGCAGAGTTAGCAAATATTAAAAATTCCCTTGAGTCAAGATCAATACTCGGTAACTACATGTACATATCCATGTTGTTTTACTGGTGAAAATACTGAAATGATTAGTCATTTCCTTCTGAGATTTCTCTCCCCCCTCCTCCCCTCCCCCCAATTTCTAAGTCTATGTCTCTTAGTAGTCCCCCATCCTAGTATTATAGGAGAAGAGCCATATTAGTCTATGGTAGCCAAAAATCAGAAGCCTGGTAGCACCTTTTCAAACTAGTGTTATTAAAAGGCTGAGCTATCATGAGCTATAGTTTATGCCTTTAATTAGTTAGTCTGAAAAGGTGCTACCAGATTTCTGATTTTTGACTTCTGGCATCTTAGTATTAATGGCCCTGCTTGGCCAGAGTCATCTAGGTTCTATAATCTGCTGCGATTGCTCATAGTAGGGGAAAACTAAAAACTAAAGTTGTTTTCCCATTATTTCCCAGTTTACAGCAATTAAGATTTAAATGTAGCTACATAATCAAAAGCCTTAATAATTTTATGTGCCAGATCTAC